TTATTGACTAGTTTCTGTGTGATTTAAACCACACGTCATCAGAATCTGAAAGTAAAAAAAAGAACTGTAAATTTTTTTTAAAGAAAAGAAGAGCGATGAGAGCTCTTTACGGCGGAAGGACCTTAATGACGGACAAAAAAAACTACCAGAGGGCCGAATGGGCCCTGCTGATAGGGAACGAAACTGTGAAATGGCCGAATGGGCGTCTTTGACAGTTCTAGATGGCCGAAGGTGCCTCTCTAGGCGACACGATTAAAATGTGAAAAAATGCCGGAGGGTCGAAAGGACCTCTGCCGGCGAACAGAAAGAAAGACGAAAATGGACGTGGGCCAGAAGGCCACATGTTCTTGCTTAATTGCCATCGTCGTCATCGGAAAGATTGAGCGTGGCGATTTGTGGTGTTGTTGTGTCGCCATCGCTCTGCCTCTTGCTGTTGTAGATTATGATGGTGGGGATGTTGAGAGGAGAGTTTGCTGCTGTGGTTGTTGCTGGTGTTGGTGGTGGTGTTGGACCAGCCTCGTTGTTGGAATTTCCATTGGCATCGTCACCACCTTGAATGGCGCCACCACTCGCCGGTGTTGTTGTTGTTGTTGTTGTGACATTGATTGTCGGTGGTGGAGGTGGGTTACGCACCGCACGCAATCTCTCTCGGCGTTCACGCCGGGCTACTGTTTTCCGGCTGCCCATTCCAGCCGTGGCTGGTTCTGGACGAACCAGAGGGTTGAAACGGTAGGATCGAGTAGCCGCTGGTCGTTCCACACGACCCACCATACTGGCATGATTGGCTCTGGGTCGTGGAATGTCCCCATTCTCGCCAAAAGCCGTACGACCAGTATTGTGGATACCATAGCTTTCGGGTCTATCTGCTCGACTCCCTTGAGCGACCAGGTAATCCATGACAGTACCTGTCTGCTGTCCTCCTCGTGGCCTGTCGGCCACGAAGTATTCACCAGACGGTACCCACATGGCTTGCCCTGTCCGCTCGCAGGCATACAAGCAGAAAGACCCATCAGCCGTGGCATGTAAGATGGTGGTCCTTCTCCAGATAGCCGCTGATGGGCCATTAAGGATGGGACCAACCATCTGTTGCCGAACCTGACTGGGAGTGATGGCTCCGGAGAAGGGGATCAGGGCTGGTAAACCAGCCGCATTACCCACTTCTCTTTCATTGCCATGTGCTACGGAACCATTAGGTGACATATCTGAAATTAGACCGAACCAATTGGTAGTCATTCAAAAAAATGTAAATTAGTCCTAAAGAGGACTATTTGGTTTATCAAGATATATATTAGTCCTGAAGAGGACTGTTTGTATGATCGAGATCAGCGGTATATACCAGGATGATCTGATAACAAATGCATGGATACCATGTGTATTTATAGTATAGAATATCATAATCTGTTGGTCCGTTAAGAAATTCCTTAATGGACCAATTTGAATCGTCAAACATATCTATAGTACACAATATTCTAATCTATTGGTCTGTTAAGAAACTGCTTAACGAACCAATCAGACGGACCATGTTCATGTTACATAATTTACTGTATGTGATTACATGTTTTTCCGTTGGGTGGATTCGAACACTGGACCATGTTCACGTTACATATTTTTCCGCGGGTTGGATTCGAACACTGGACCATGTTCA